AAAAAAAAAAAAAAAAAAAAAAAAAAACACTGACGCAGAGGCCATGCTAATCTACTCTGTATGGTTACTATTTTAAGAAACGGAAGTCCCAGGGGCCATGGTAATTACCCCTCTCTGTATCGTTCTAATTTTATTTATTTATTTATTTTTATTGTTCCAATTTGAACGGATGTCCCGAAGGACTCCCGTTAAAATTGGAGCTATACACAGGGGTAATTAGCATGGCCTCTGCGTTGGTGTTTTAGACAGCTCAGTGGGTGGTAGAGAGAGGTGGGCCGAAAGGAGAGAGGGTTTGCGGAGAAGCCTCCTGATGAGACCAGGGCGCACCCGGTTGAAACATGTAGAGGAATGTGTGCGCGTATGAGCAGTAAACACTCTGGAAGGAAACGGGTCTTTTTGGAATGCGTGTGAAGAGCAATCTGGCCATTGCTTACCTTTCTTCTTCTTCTTCTTCTTAGTTTTCCCTAGCATGGGAAAGTTGGGATCGGGATGACACGCATGAAAAATAGAGAAATGGTCCAAAAAGACAAAAAAAATGTTTGAAAAACACTAACTCGCAGGTTTGGGAGTGAGGGGGGAAAAAAAAAGAAGGAAAAAAAAAAAGAACGATTAAACATTTGAGAGGGACGAAAAAATACAGAGCTGGCAACGACGGGGGAAGAAGGGTTGCAGATATTGCAACCATTGTGACAGAGACGGCGGCCATAGCTAGCGAGCATAACTCACCTTCCCTCCACCGCACCATTGTGTGTTGGGGGCGCCAGGAGGACACAAGTCGGTGATGGTGACCCGGACGCTGCCGGCTTTGCAGGCTCGGCTCCCAACGCACTTGACCTCCACGCACATTCCGCACGTCAATCCTCCTAAATAGACAGCCGGCGAGCCTGCAGCAAATCGGTTCGAGAACAGCTGGCTGCCGAGACTGCCATAGCCGCAAGCTCCACCACGACCGCCATTGTCGTAGAAGGTAGCGTGAGCATTTATCCACGGTCCCTGAGCCCCCAGAAGATGATTACACATGCTGAAACCCCTCGCTCCGCCGACGAGGAAGCCAGCCATGGCCACGACGGCGATGGCCGCTGCTAGGAAAAGCCTGGCCGACGACCCCATTTTCCTCTGTCTCGACCCCATTGTCCTCGGTCTCTCCCGTCAGCACTCAGTAGATGCTGCTGCTACCAGCCTTTGCTTCGGCTGTACAGACAATGCAAGCTAGCAGCTGGAGCCAGCTACCACTAGCAGACTGGAAGCTGCAGCCAACCGACCGGTAGCTGCAGGCTGCAGCAAACCCACCGGTAGCTGCAGGAACGCCGTATGTAGCTGTAGCAGACCCGTAGCTGGCACTTCCCAGTACAGTCGGTAGCAGCAGGAGCCGCGCAACTGGTGCACCAACAGGAGAAATAGGAAGAGCCGTCACAAGGACACAGTCGCTGTCAGAAGCAATCTGTGAGATGCTACGCTCCCCTCGAGAATTCGCAAACGGCCGGATATGTCTCCTTCCCGCGAACCCGTCTCCGGCTTGAAAATGTAGTGGCCTGCAAAATGGGGAAAAAAAAAACGTTTTTCAAACGGTCGCAAACGGTACTATTACAAAAAGTTCGAGCGAAATGCTAATAATCTGTATATAATATCTATGTTTATACAAAAAGTTCCAGCGAAATGCTAATAATATGTATATAATATGTATTTTTGTATCTAAATGACGCTTTTTAAAATCTTCATTAACCACTTTCTCCCACTTCGTGGCCTCCTCTGCTGACACAACCGCCCCAAAGCGTTCATCTTTATCTTTTCCACCAACCCCTGGGTGGGTGGGTGGGTTTTCGAGTTCGAGTCCACTGCCTACCTCCCATTAGCAAAGAGGATTGGATTTAGCTCCTGAATCTGGACGTGTTTTAAGCAGAGATGCAGAAAAGCTGTTCAATCTCGAATTTCTGCACTTTTCTGGATTCAGGCGTTCAATCCAATCCATGTTGTTGCTAGTAGGCCCTCCCCCCAGATTGACGCCCCAGATGGACCGAATTCTGGATTTACCGGGGGCCGGTCACCTTCACGATGAGATCTCAAGGCTGCATCTCGAAAAGCCTACGTAACAGTTGCAAATAGAACTCGACACCCTGGGCTTGGGAGAGAGAACAAAAAAAAAGAAAAAGAAAAAGAAGAAGAAAAAAAGTAATCGTCCCTCCCTGCACAAACTGTTGCAGTATTTGTTTGCCTGGCCCCTGTTGCAGTATTTGTTTGCCTGGCCCTCGAATCAGGTACTTCTACGTAGGCCTATCTCAGTTGGTACATCCACAAACTGTTGAAATATGGATCAGACCCGAGTTCAAATCCAGATACAATCAGATGACCAGAATAACATAATGAATTCTGAGTTATGCGGGGCTGGTCAGGTTCAACGATGATATCCGAAGGCATTCTCCCTATAGAGAGGGAAAAAAAAAAGAAAAAAAAAGGAAAAAAAGAAAACAGAACTCTACCGAGTAGTACCCAAGAGCCTACCATATCCTTGACCTTCACGGTTGGAGGGGGGCCAACATCCATCTGCTCTCTCTCTCTCTCTCTCTCTCTCTCTCTCTCTCACACACACACACACACACACACACACACACACACACACACACACAGACGCACACACAAACCCACACACACACGCAAGCTGAGCAACGACCTCCATCGGTCGAGAGAACGAATTCTCTACTGAGTTCGATCTGTCGTTCAATCCACATGCTCTCTCTCTCTCTCTCTCTCTCTCTCTCTCTCTCTCTCTCTCTCACACACACACACACACACACACACACACACACACACACACACACACACACAGAGAACGAGCAAGGAAGGAGCTAAGCAACAACCTCACATCACGAGCGTCAGAAATGCAACAAGTGCCCGGCGTCTCGGCGTCAACTGAAACAGGTCCGACTTGGCGTCATGTCGTCCGTGCGATAAAGGTGGAGGAGGAGGAGGAGGAGGATTAGGAATTCGACCATGCCGCCCCATCAGACTACAACATTCAGAGGGGGAGTGCAGCACAGCGCGGCCTGTTTGAAATCACAAGTCCATAGCTCGACCCACTGTTGTGTTTGCTTTGAAAATTCCACCAACCGGCAACCTGGACCACCTACCTTGGGAGAATGCTGAGCACACCACCCACGTAAAGTAAGTGGCTCCGACTGATGGCTGAGAAGAACGCCGCTGAGAACACCTCTGAGAACAATGCCGCTGAGCGATGGGTGATCTCCTCTGCCTAGAGAAAGGGACGAGTCCCAAGATGTTTGCGCTCCTGCAATTATAGCGATGGCGAGGTCCGGCTTCGCCCGTACAGGTCCGTCCTCATCCGTACACTGAGACTATGGCGGGGCAATCAACCCAAGAGTTGAAACAACAGGCGAGGACAGACTCTGAGGGAGCCGATGATCGAACAGACTGTGAGGGAGGCGCCAATGCAAGCTCTCTGATTTACTCAGCAGCGATGGACGCCGCAAATGCGGCGGCGAGAGCTGTCGCGCCCTCTCGGGCTAGCGATTAACAAACGGAACTGAGTACTGCTCTCGCCGCTGCAGTACATTCTTATAAACTTTTCAAGTACTTGTTATTCTCTCTCTCTCTCTCTCTCTCTTTCTCTCTCTCTCTCTCTCTCTCTCACAC